TTCACTGATGATATGGAGCTTTTCCATCTTCTCTTTCCACAGATGTAGTCTATTTGATTTCTATGTGTTCCATCTGGCGAGGTCCTTGTGTATAGTCATCTCTTATGCTGCCTAAAGAAGGTATTTGAAATAAACAAATCATTTGTCTTGCAGAAATTTAGTTCTGAAATTCCAGACCCTTTACATACTTCATCTCATTAAATTCTTATAACTATGAAAGACACATATTATACATCCCTGATTTATAAGTGACCACAACTCATCTGTCAGTTTGTCTTACTGTGATTTGTGTATTGCTTAATGATGGAAACTATGTCACCAGAAGTTTAAGTACCATAAGGGTAACGGGAGCTTCCAGACTAAGACAGACTTGGAAGAAAGAGAGGTGGACCACTTCTGAATGGTTAGCCACTGGAACCTTATGAGAAGAAATGGAACATTGTCAGATATAGTGTCAGAGAGTGAGCCCCTCAGGTTGGAAGGCACTCAAAATATGACTGAATAAGAGTTTCCTCCTTAAAGTAGAGTTGACCATAATGACATGAATGGAGCCAAGCTTTTGGGACCTTCAGTTGTTGATGGGGCACAACTGAAAATGAAACAAAACGGCTGCAAATAGCCATTAATAATTGGAACTTGGAATGTACTAAGTATGAATCTAGGAAAATTGGAAGCTGTCAAAAATGAAATGGAATGCATAAATATCAGTATTATAGGCATCAGTGAGTTTAAATGAACTAGTATTGTACATTTTGAATGGACATTCCTATGGCTTACTATGCTGAGAAGTACTAATTGGAGAGAAATGGTGTCACATTCATGAAGAATATTTCAAGATCTATCTTGAAGTACAAATGCTGTCTGTGATAGGATAATATCCATATGCCTACTGAATATGGGAGTCCTGGTGTGGCACTATGGGCAAATGTGTCAGACTACAAAGTCGTTTGAACTGCAAGGTCGGTGGTTCAAGCTCACCAGCTGCTCCTTGGAGATCCTATACAGGGTTGCAATGGGTCAGAATCGACTCGATGGCACTTAAGAACAAGTGAACATGGTGGGTCCATAGGATAAGCACTGGACTGTGAAACACAAAACAAGCTGGTTTCATAAGAGGACAAGGAATGAGGAAGATCACTGCTGACATCAGATGAGTCTTGACTGAAAACAAAATAATAGACAGATGTTTACTTGTGTATTATTGACTATGTGAAGGCATCATAAAAACCAGGTAACATTGCAAAGAATGGGTTTCCAGAAGAAGTTCAGTCAGAATGCTCCTTAGAAGGAGGATAACTTTGGGCTACAGCATTCCTAAATTGGAACCACTCTGATGGCAGTGAGTTTGGGTTTTTGTTGTGTTTTTTAAATATAATGTGCTCTCCTGTTAATCCAAAGTTGGAGGTTCCGGTCTACCCAAAGGTGCCTTTGAAGATAGACTTCTGAAAAATAGGTCACTGAAAACCTTATGGAAGTTTTATTCTGACACACATGGGATCACCTTGAGTGGGAACTGGTTATTGGTTTTACCATGTTTGTACAACTTATTAGAGGTCACTGTCCTGGTGTGGCCCTGTGGGTTAATGCGCTGAACTGCAAAGCCATTTGAACCTCAAAGTTGTCAGTTAAGGCTCACCAGGGTCACTATGCATAGGGTCACTATGAGTTTATACCGACTTGAAAGCACCTAACAACAACTAGCCACAATGTTGGCAGTTCAAATCTACCAGCTGCTCCTTGGAAGCCCCATACAGGGTCATTATGAGTTGGAAGCAATTAAAGGTACTTAACAACAACAATAATTTATTGTTGATAACCACATTCATCCAATAACTAACTCTGGCTTTATTCACATAAGCAACCCAAGAGACAAATATTTTCAAAGGTGATTTGCCTAATGTCTGGCTAAGCATGTGGCAGAATCTGAGACTTGAAACCTTGACGTATAAATCCAATCCAATATAATTTCTGCTTTGCCATGTTGATGGGGCAGCATTTTGATCACCCTTTTGTCTCCGACAAGTATGTTGTTGTTAAATGCTGTTCAGTCAGTTTTGATCCATAGCGACCCTTTATAGGATTTCCGAGGAGCAGTTGGTGAGCTTGAACCACTGACTTTGTGATTCAAACTGACTTTGAAGTCCAGCACATTAACCCACATCAGGACTCTTTGATAAGTATAGGTATATACAATAAAAATGTGTGTATTCATGCACATCAGAGGTTGAACACTGATTTGATTTTCCTAAACACAGATCTGTGGTTCAAATCCAACAGCGGCTCCTAGGAAACCTTATCAGGGTCACTATACGTCTGAACCTACTCCATGGTAGTTAACATCACTACCAGGGATGATAAGCAGCTTTGGTAGTGTAGTGGTTACGAATTGGGCTGCTAACCTCAGGGTCAGCAGTTCAAAACTGCCAGCTGTTCCGCGGGAGAAAGATGAGGCTTTCTGCTCCCGTAAAGATTTACAGCCTCAGAAACCCTGTATCGGGTTGCTATGAGTCAGAACCGACTCCACAGCACATAACAACCAGGGATGATGTATTCTAAGTAGTGGCCTGGGGGGTGCAAATGATTAAGTGTTTGACCACCAGTTCAAAGGTTGATTGCACAAACCTACCTAGAGATACCTTGGAAATCAGGTTGCTACTTTCAAGTCCCTAAGGAGCTGTTCTACTTTGCACACAAGGTGTTGCCATGAGTTACAATGAACTCAATATCAATTGACATGTGGGTTTGTCAGCAATTATTCACAAACTGGTCCAAAAATTCAGGTGAAAATGTTATATATGTAGTTTGTCTTTGAGATAACTTGCTGAATTGCATTTCTATATACGCTCTCTTGGCATACCACTCAAAAGAATAACGATTATTTGACGTTTCCTATGTAATGAGGATTTTCACATGGTTGAATTTACATGTTGCACCTGTAGTTTGATTACAAGACTTATGGGGGGCTCTTCCCTGCAAACAGTGGGTTCTTCCAAAGTGAAGATTCCTCTATACAAGTTTTCTAGCTTATGACTGAGCTCAAAAAGAGTGGAGAAATGTGCTGTTGAAGAATGAATCCACTGACTCTCCCAAGTTAGTCAGAAAAGATAGGCTGCTTTGCCAGTCGAAACAAACTCCAGGTGTTGAGCTTACAAAGGACTTATATAAACAATAATCAGAATCTGTCCTGTCTACTCATTTGTCTACCCCTTGTATTTGAATGTGTGATAATTTTGGGGGAAAATGCCCAGCAATACCAAGTGTCAGTAAATGATAATAGTGTAGGTATACTGACAAATATTTGTTTTTGTTGTTACATGCTGTTGAGTTGGTTCTGACTCATAGCTACTGGATAGGGCTTCCAAGGAACGACTGGTGGGTTTGAACCATAGACCTTGCGGTTAACAGTCCAGTGTTTATCCTACAGGGTTACACCAGGGCTCCAGCAATTTACTGAGCGATAAATATGTGTCAGGCATCATCATAAGCACTTGATGATGTTGTTGTTAAGTGCCGTCGAGTTGGTTCAGACCCATTGCAACCCTGTATAGGGTTTCCGAGAAGCAGCTGGTGAGATTGAACTTTGCAGTTGAAAAGGTTTTGCAGTCTGGCCCACAGCGCCACACAGCGCTACACCAGGACTCCAAGATTTTAGGGACTCAGAAATGGTGGATTACAGAACTTGTCGAACGTCATACACTAGAAAAATGGAGCAGAACTCGGGCTGCTGATTTCAAATTCCGGGTTCTTCACCACTTAACGCAACAGCAAGATTTCTCAGCAAAGGAATCGGTTCTCCCACGCCTTCTCCCCTTCCCCCTCGGCTCCGACTTGACTGGGGCAGAGAGCGATTTGGGGTTGGGGGCCGCAGTTACAACATTTGAAAAACTAAGGGTCCCTAAGAGCCCCTCCCTGGCGCACTTGCCCTGCAAGCCTCTCTGGAAGTCAGCACTGTCAAGGCGATCCAGCTCAGCAAGCCGCGCCAAGTGCACGGAGACGCCCCCGAACCTGTCCAGCTCTCCCTGCAGCGAGATCACTCTGGCCCGGGGATCCCAGGAGCAGCCAGGCCCGCACGAAGCCCTGTGGTGCCCCGTCGTGAACCTCGAAAACCTCGGGCGGCGGGTCCAGGCCAACGCCGCGCGCCAGTAGCCCCAGTTCAGTAGCTGCGGCATCCCTTTGCCGTTCACGCAGCCTTTCTAGCTCCTTTCCCAAGTCACCCCTCCAACGCCAGGTCGCTACCGTACATTTTAGAAGAGTGTCACCCACAACCGCTGGATCTGGGTCTCCAAATTTGCGCCGCTATCTGAGGAGACCGCGAAATGCTTTCCACCAGCCCTCTTCATAAGCTGCTACGACAAGCAGGGAGAGAGATCTGATATTCATTTTGTTAGTTTATTTCTACAGACGTTTGTTTAGGATGGTGGAAGGCGGTCAGAAAGATGAATTAAAAAAACAAAACAAAACAAAAGCCTCAGCAATTTATTATCTAAATGGTTGTTGTTTAGTGCAGTCGAGTAGGTTCCGACTCCTAACAACCCTGTACAGGATTTCTGAGAAGCAGCTAGTGGTTTTGAACTGCCAACCTTGTGGTTTGCTGATCCTACAGCGCCACACCAGGTGTCCATTTAAATGGTTGTTGCCGTTGTTAAGTGCCTTAGAGTCGACCCAGACCCATAGCGAGCCTGTATAGGGTTTCCAATTTATATGGCTTGGAAGCTTGAAACACCAACCTTGTAGTTCAAACAACTTAGCAGTCTGATGCATTAGCCCACAGCGCCACACCAGGACGACATTTAAATGGCTGTTGTTAAGTGCCATCGAGTCAGGTCCGACCCATAACGACCCTGTACAGGGTTTCCGACCTTGCAGTTAAAACGGCTTTGCATTCTGACGCATTAACCCACAGCGCCATGGTGGCTTCCATTTTGGATATCATGTTTGGTAAGGTGGAGGGTCAGAGAAAAAGAGGAAGACCCCCAGCGAGATGGATTGGCCGAGTGGCAGCATGGATGGACTCAAGCGTGGGAACAGTAGTGAGGGTGGCCCAGGATCGGGCAGTGTTTCGGTCTGCTGTGCATAAGGTCGCTATGGGTTGGTACCGACTCGATGGCACCTAACAACAACAACAACACTTTATAGCAGTGTAGAGCAGCGGGTTAATGCGCTAGACTGCAAGGTTGTTTTGAACTGCAAGCACGGCAGTTCTAGCTCACCAGCGTCTCCTCGGAAACCCTATAGAGGGTCGCTATGTGTCAGAACTGACTCGACGGCACTTGACAACAACACCAACTTTATAGCAGTTAGAACATCTGTAACCTTTTCAATGATCCCGCGTTTTGAAAACGCTCGGTTTTCAGTCTCCTACCGCGCTCCATTCGTGGGATTACGGCGCAGGGCGGAGCCACACCGACTTCTGCTCCGGAAGTTTTTTCTCTAAGAGAAGCGCGCACCTTAAAGCCGGCTTTGCAGTTATTTAGCCCATGCTGCTTGCTGATCATGTCTTCTAAGAAGAACCGAAAGAGGCTGAACCAAAGCGCGGAGAATGGTTCCCTCTCTCTCTCTACGAGTTCTTCTCCTGCTGGGGCCTCGGCTCCTTCTGCTGGGCCAGGCTACTCTGCGGCGGCCGGGACTCTGGTGGTGACCAACTTCATAGAAAAGGGTAAAAGTCTCCACCCGAGACCGAGGGGGCGCAACCCGAGAGGAGGGAGGCCCAGCGATGCCTCCTTGAAGCGCAGAGGCTTTTTTGAAAATTGGGCGAGTTCTAGGTGTGAGGTCAGCACATGAAGTATATATAAGATGCCTGTGGCGGCACCCGTATTGAAGTTAGGCGGAAATGGTGTATCTTAGCCAAGCAAGCGCTCCCTTTTATAAATTATCTTGAATTTCTAAGATGCGATTGAAATAACCTTGACCCATTCAGTATCAGCGTCATATATTTTGAATTGAGTGAAGGTTTACAGTCAAGATCATCAGCTTTGCATTCAACAAATCACCCACTTTCAACATCATATTTAATGGTGCAGAAGTCGTATTTTCAGCCCAAATCTAGTTAGCGTAGGTGGTGGTTGTTAAAGTGCCGTTGAGTCAGCTTCGATTCAGCAGTATAGGATTTCCCAGGAGCAGCTGGTGGGTTTGAACCACTGAACTCGTGGTTTGCAGTCTCATGCTTATCCTACAGCGCCACACCAGGATTCCAGTAAGTGTAGGCTATGTGTACTATACAAACGAAATACCCAGTTCGATAAAGATGTGAATATACTCGTATACCTCCTGAGAGACATCGCTGTGTCTTTAAGAATTAAGATCTCTTTTCCTTTCACTACATGGATTCTGGTATTTAAACAGCTATTAATTGAAAGGGAACCCTGGTGGCACAGTGGGTTAAGTACTGGGCTGTTAACCAAAAAGTCAGCATGTGGAGGCCAACAACGCTGCTGGAAAAAGATGTGGCCATTTGCTTTTGTAAAGACAAAAAGCCTTGGAAACCATGAAACAGTTGGCCTCTGTCCTATGTCCTGTAGGGTCTGTTGAATCTTTATCCACTTGATGCATTGGGTTTGGTGTGTTGATTGCATTTTTATTAGGTGGTTGTTGTTAAGTGCCGTTGAGTTGATTCTGACTCACAGTGACCTGTATAGAGTTTCTGACTAGTGACTGGTGAGTTTGAACAGTGGGTTGACCTTGTTGTCTGATCTTGCTGTTCAGTGCTTATCCTACAGCACCATCTCAGAACTTCACTTACTAGGTTAAGTCCTAGCATTTGCTTTTTTAAGACTTTTGTTGTTAAGTGCTGTTGAGGTGGTTTCAACCCATGGCTACCCTGTATAGGGTTTCTGAGGAGTGGCTGGTGAGCTTAAACCACTGACCCGGTGCATTAACCCACACAGTGCCACACCAGGACTCCTTTTTAAGACTACAGCCATTGAAATGGAGCCCTAGTAGTGTAGTGGAGTATGAACTGGGTTACTAACCACAGGGTCAGCAGTTCGAATGTACCAGTTGCTCCACAGGAGAAAGATGAGGCCTTCTGCTCACATACAGATTTACAGCTTGGGAAACCCTGGACTGGGTTGCTATGAATTGGAACTGACTCTGGGGCACACAATCACCACCCCACCGCCAGTGGATTACACAGTTGGGCTGCTAACCACAAGGTTAGCAGTTCTAATCTACGAGCCCCCTCCTTTGGACAAAGATGAGGCTTTTTGTTCCCATAATGATCTGTACCCTCAGAAATCCTATAGGGTCGCTGTGAGTTGGAACCAACTCCACGGCACACAACAACATGGCTATTCAAAACCTTATGGAAAGAGAGCAGTTTCACTCCTGGGTCTCCATCCAAGAGTCGGAATCCACTCCACAACAACAGGGTTGGTTTTTTGTTTTCGTAGGGTAGGCGCTTCACTTTATTTTCACAAAATCCTTGGGAAATGGATGAATTATTATGCCCATTTAGCAAATGAAGAAAATTAACATAATTGTGTGTGTGTGTATCCCCACCATTTGACAAGTACTAAGTGATGGAGCTGAAATTTGAGTCAAGGTGACTGACACCAAAGCTAATCTCGTATTTCTTATTTTGCAGTTCTCTTGACTAGAATAACAGATTTATCTGACAAGTCATTTCGTCTGTAATGTGTTTAACGGACTTGATTATAATAACTTTGAAAAATAAACCAGGCTAAAATTAAAAGTGGCAAAATTTTTTTGTCTAATGCAGACTCTAAATCAATCTTGAAATTAACACAGTGTTTTCATTCTTTAGTAATCAGAGGACTGCTTTGTGTCCTGTATTTTCAACCCCTCTTTCTCAATTGGATCCTTCCCATTGATGTGCTTTCCTTTCCAAAACACGTGCTCAGTACTTTTCTTAAGTAAATCTAAAAGCTTTCCATGTTTTCCTACCACTACCTTGTCTCTCTTCATCTTTCCTTGCTGGACTTCTTAAATGGAGCTGTCTCTGCCTTAGCTCTCACTCCTTAGCCTATTACTATTTGGCTTCAACATCATCATTCTGTAAAAACTGCTCCTGTCATGGTCACTGATGACCTCCATGTTGATAAATCCAATAGTTTTTCTTTACTTAACATTTGACCCCTGAATGGCTTTTGGCATTGTTGACCATTTCCTCCTTATTGAAATTCTTTCTTGACCTATGTGTCATGAAACTTACCTGAGTTTTCTTCTTCCTTTGTCACAGTTTCCGCTGGAGGCATATCACCTTCTACCTGACCATTAAATTTTGTAATTTCTTAACTTTTTGCCCTAAACTCTGTTTTTCTCAGTAAGTGACTTTTCTTGGCATGTTCATCTGATATCTGGAGTTTCCCATCTGTACTGTCATCATTTATATGTGTATATATATATATTTTAAGTTTTTATTGTAAATTGAGTGAAAGCTTACAGGGCATATAATCAGTTTTACGATCAGTAAATCATATTTTATTCCATTGCAGTAGTTACAATCCCCCTCCATGTACAGTCAATCAACAGTATTTTTTTGGAGGGATGTACACATGCAAAACAGAAAATACAAATTTGTTTAAATGTCCAAAGGGCACATGTTGCAAGTCGGCCTCCTGCCCGCAGGCAGACAGCCTTTCTCAGACCATGGGACTAGAGTCCTCAGGTGCTCTATGCCATAGCCTCAGCCACTCTCTCTCTTTTTTTTTTTTTTTACATTTTTATTGTGTTCAGTCAATTCCCTAAACCATTTTTTCTCAG